TAATTGTAGTGTTATTTAGTAGAGTTTTTTTTTTTATTTCTTTTTGAATTTACGGTCAGATTTGATAATGGTGTGAGATAAGAAAGTGTATCCACATCCCTATATTAAAGTCATCTGCCCTAAATTTCAAATGTTTGTGCAGCACTGGCTTTAAAGCAAAGTGTTTGTATGTGCAAACACCAGGGCAATAAACCATGAAACGATCGTCTCTGTCGTGGATTAGGAGTTGGACAGAAACAGAGACAGAAACAGAAGGGGTCTCACCTGCTGGTCGCAGAGGTCTCCCTGGTGGAAGGTGACGCCTGGCAGCTCGTAGCTCTGCCGGATGTCGAACACGGACACGGAATAACCTCGGTCCTGCAGCYTCTCCACCAGGTGTCTGCCCAGGAAACCCGAGCCTCCGATGACTGCACACCGTTTACTGCTCTGTGAGGTAAACAGAGAGCAGCAAAGAAACTAATGAAGCAACACTGAAGAGTTCAAAACACACCGACGACATCAGGCTGTGGCTCACCGGCCGAAGACGTGTAGCCATAACAGATGAAAACTGACCCCACAGGTAGAAAAAGCAAAACTTGTAACAGTATTTATAAAAAATAATAAGCTGCGTCTGCCTAACTCAAAGACACCAATGTCGCGGTTCTAATTTAGGTAGAAACAGAAGTGATACTATATTCTCGTCTCGTTTACGCTAGTTTAAAACTTAGCTAACTGGACAGCGAACAAATAAGCTGTTAAAATCGGCTGAGAGTTCTTACCTGTGATTCGTCGAGACGTAGCCAATGACAAAGGGGACGTTTGTGAATAGCCAATCGTGTTTAATATACGTCAAAAAACACCATTGCTTTAGACCAATCAGAAATCGGAGTCATGTTTAGCCCGCCCTCTGGATCAAAGACCACATGTGTTGATTTATCTGGGTTCATGCATTTTTATGGACTTTTTTAAAAATTATTTATTATTATTATTTAATCTAATAAAGCGCAGTGCTGTGCAAATTTTTTTAAACCGTCCCTGAATCAACTAGACTTTCTCAGTCTTTTAAAGTGGTCTTGATCAACAGTTTTCTATGTTATCTGAATGTGTTTTGAAGTTTGTTTGGATTTTTTTTATTGCATTTAAGCCGTTTTGAAAATTATTTTCAGATTGAACTGTAGTATCTTACCATGACAGCATATTGTGCATTTGTCTGAAAATCACGTCTTCAAAATTAAAAATAAAAAAATAAAAGCACCACACAAAAAAATTATAATACTTAATGATTTGATAAAAGACTGGTATGGAAGCCCATTTCCGCCACCCTGATAAAAAAATAAATAAAACTTGTATCTCATAATTATGACTTAGCTATCTCATTRTTAWGCCATAATTATGAGATACTATCTCATAATTATGAGATAGCTAAGTCATAATTATGAGATACAAGTTTTATTTTTTTATCAGGGTGGCGGAAATGGGCTTCCACAGAACTTGAGAGATGTATTGTTCTCCACCAGAATGATTTATAGATCAGTCGTATAACAAACAAGCAACTACAAAACAGTCTCCTGAAAATCATCAAGTGCCAGAGAGGAAATTTTAAAAAAAAACTGAAATAGCCAAGGSCATAACAATTTCCATAACAGTAAATAACTTTAACAAATTCCAAAGAACTAATAGAAAATCTGGCTATCACACATAATCTGGATGTATTTTTTACAATGAACGCTAGGGGGTGTATTGAGTCATTGTTGTAGTTATAACAGGCTGATGGATTTATTGTGTTGTAATAACATAATAAAATAATAAATACAACACAGAAGTCTGCGTTGAGTCTGTTATTGCCAGACTGACTCCATATATTTTATTGTTTAAATCATATTTTTAATACTCTACGAACCACGTGATTTTCAGCACCAAATGAGATTTATATCCGATGGGTGCGTTTGTTTTTCTCCTCTGCTCGTGCCTGTCTGCAGTCTACCGAGTCTTCACCGTGGCAACGACGTCGACAAACACCACCGCTCGCTTTTCGTTGGTTCCGCGGGTAGTTAAATCAAACACCCCGCTTCGGTGACGGCCGCTAGTGTGAATGTTGTTAGCTAGAACCCATATATTTATCCTACTTTATTATCTAGTATTTGTCAGATATATGAGGTTTTTTTTTTTTAAATCCCCGGCCGGTATTTCGTGAATGGTTAATTCCACCGACTGAGCTCCTTCGTACATGATAGAGAGGCGAAAACAGGCGTTTCTTCTCGTCAAAAATACACAGAAGCCAAATGGTGAGTGATAACAGATGTCCGTATGAGTGTGTTTGTGTTGACACATCCGTGCCTCCACCTGTGTGTGTGTGTGTGTCCTACCACCAAGGCAACCAGTGCCAAGAGGCCATCTCTGCAGGGTCCGGTGCCCCCTCCCCGGAAGAAGACAGCCCCCAAGCCGGAGTTGACAGAGGAGCAGAAGCAGGAGATCAGAGAGGCCTTCGAGCTCTTCGACACTGATGGGTCTGGATACATCGACGTGAAGGAGCTGAAGGTGGGACAAGCTGCGAGCTGATCTTTGAACGGGTTTGCAGCCTGATGTGTCCATGTTTGTGTTTCTGAGTCAGGTGGCAATGAGAGCTCTGGGCTTTGAACCAAAGAAAGAGGAGATCAAGAAGATGATYGCAGAGGTGGATAAGGAAAGCACAGGAAAAATCTCCTTCAGTGACTTCCTGTCAGTCATGACACAGAAAATGGTACACAACACCATATACAGGTTATACTACAATTACATTTAATGTGGATGCAGAAGTACAGCCTAGTTTTTTTAAACTTCCATTGCTCCATCTGTATTTAAGCAGGAATCCAGTTTGTAACAAAACAATTCTCTCTTCTATATTTATTAAATTCAGGCGGAGAAGGATTCCAAAGAGGAGATCATGAAGGCTTTCAGGCTGTTTGACGAYGACGAGACGGGCAAGATCTCCTTCAAGAACCTGAAGCGAGTGGCCAAAGAGCTGGGAGAGAACCTGACAGACGAGGAGCTGCAGGTACTGAGCAACAAAAACAGCATCCRGAAGGAGTGCTTATCGCTTATTTGTCATGCCACAGTTTCAGTCYAAGATCACCACATGTTGAGACAGTTATAGCCACGAAGATAACATTTTGCRTTGTGAGATACATTTTACATTTTAGCTCATTTTTTTGTAAAAAGGACTGCATTATAATCATTTTTGTTTTGGMTAATTTTGCTTAGTTGTGGAGGCTGTTTTGATTTGGATTGACTCCAAAAAATTAATCAGATATAGCTGCACATCTGTTAATCATATTCTGAAGGTTTTGTTTAAATCTGCCTGGTGGTTCATTAGATATTTTGCTAACAGACAGACTGGGTTGAAACCAGAAGTTAAGGCTGAACTTTTTTAAGCAAAGATCTCATGCAATGGATAGCACTTGGAGTATATGTTGTAAGTCACTCTCAGCTACAGCCACAATCAATTTTAACTCTTTGTTTATAAAACCCACTAAATTATAGCTATTTCTGTGCTTTCGAATGTTAGTTGGATTTGGCAGCCATCTTGAATTGGATTAATTTCAAACATTAATCAGTTATAGTCGTGCATCCAGTGATTATTTCCTGAAAGTTTTATTAAGATCTGTTTAGTGGTTCATGAGAAATTTTTCTAACAGATAAAGTTGACTCCAAATAGTTAATGGCCAAATTTTAAACAAAAGTCTTTCACAGTTGGTTGGCCCTCAAATTATGTGTTGAAGATCATGCTCAGGTACTACCATGGCAACTTTTAGATCCATACTGTACAATTAATTGAGTTATGGTCACTTCTGTGTGTTTTTTTTTAGATTTAGATGGCTGTGGCAGCCATTTTGAATCGGGTTGACTTCAAAAGTTAATCAGTTGTAGATGTATTTTCACTTATTACTTTCTGAAAGTTTCATTTAAATCTGCCCAATGCRTCACAAGATATTTTGATAACAGACTCACACACACACACGGTCAAAAACAACACTGTACACATTTATTTTCTCCCGGATGTCTTTCACGCTAGCTTCGTTTTCTTGCCGCTGTCTTCCTCCCGTCTTCTTACAAGCGCACGTTTGTGCAGGAGATGATCGACGAAGCCGACCGGGACGGAGACGGAGAAGTGAACGAGCAGGAGTTCCTGCGGATCATGAAGAAAACCTGCCTGTACTGACGCACCAGTGTGACGTCAGGGGCGGCGATGCGAAGTCGATCTGACCAGATTGAAATAGTGTTTATATGTAACGCAGTGTGTTTGGAAAACTCTTACAGCTATGTTGTGCCATTCACTTTACCTGAAACCAGTCAGACTTAGTCAGCCATCGCAGGCAAGCTAAGTTGACATTAATGAAAATGTAGTTTATTTATTGCTTAAATACTCAAAGTAGCTGCAGGAGAAGCAGCGACCAACACGATACATTCCAAGGCTTTATTTGATGGCAGAACTTGTGCGTTATGTTCAACCAATCTGCAGATAATTTATGCTAGGTGTTGTGTTTTGACTCAGTTTTAAGAAATTTGTAAGGATTATTGTCAGACGAGCAGGAAGTGCTCCTTTCTGACCTGTGCCTCCTAATGATGAGACCGTCACGTTTAAAGAAATGACTCGACAAACCTCACAGACCTGCAAACCCTCCACCTTTAAGCTATGAATGTTGCTGGATTTATCCATGAAGTATTTATCCTTCTGTTGTGCACATTTCCTGTTTTGTATATTGTGAACTGATGAGTAATTATACACCGTACAGAGTAATTAAATATAATGAAGCAGTTTATCTCGCCTGTCGTTTTTCACTTTTATGTGCAGCTTTTGTTAGCAGTGTTTGAGCAGCATGACTCAATTTTTTTTAACACAAATCATCATACATTATTGACTTTATTCCACTGTTGTGATTGAAATTATCACATATTGCAATGGCAGCTTTTTCCTCATTTGTGCCCCCCAATAACTCTTGACAGCCTAATCATTTCACCTCATCTGTTGTGAGACAGGGCCAACAGCAGATGTTTTATTATCAGGACTGGTTATTTAAACACGTCAGGAACAGTATTTATCCGTCCGTGCAAAATCATAATCTATTTGCAAAATATTTACCTGATTAGAGGTTCGGTGAGGGAGGAAACGCCATTTTTACCAGCAACGTTACTGTTTAAGATACTGAAAAGAAAGCTAAAAGTTACATTTTATACCACAGACCATGAGTAAAAACAATGAGGACGTTTTAAAATTAAAAGATCAAAAAGTGTGTAAGAGGATTTTCTCCCCCATACTACTAATTAGTCCTACAAAACTCCTGGTTTACAAGAACAAAATGTTAAAAAGTATGTTATAAATCTAAAACATCCTTTCATTATCTTGACTTGCTTCCTTCCTTTCAGGGTCACTGGTCCCCATATCCAGCAGTTCCCTGTCCAGGGGTGGGAGACACACTGGACAGGTCACAAGTCCATCACAGGGACAATAGAGGCGTTCACTGTCTCACTCACACCTAGGGACAATTCAGAGTTACCATTTAAAACCTAACAGTCATGTTTTTGTACAGTGGGAGAAAACCCATGCATGCATGGAGAGAACAGGCAAACTCTACCCAGAAAGGTCCTCGGCCCAGGATTTGATCTGCAACATTCTGGCTGAAAGGAAACAGCCCCACAAACTGAGCCACCCTATCTAAAACACGTGTAAGCAAAATTCGGGTCGAGGGCCAAAAGCGGCCCCTGGACCAACTTCATCTGGCCCTTGTCCTAAAATAAACAAAAAACATTTAGAAATAAATTAATTAAAATAAGTACT